CTGCGCAGCGTCACTCGCTGCGCAGCGTCACTCGCTGCGCAGCGTCACTCGCTGCGCCGCGTCACTCGGCCCTGCGCAGCGTCACTCGCTGCGCAGCGTCACTCGCTGCGCAGCGTCACTCGCTGCGCCGCGTCACTCGCTGCGCCGCGTCACTCGCTGCGCAGCGTCACTCGCTGCGCCGCGTCACTCGCTGCGCAGCGTCACTCGCTGCGCCGCGTCACTCGCTGCGCCGCGTCACTCGCTGCGCCGCGTCACTCGCTGCGCCGCGTCACTCGCTGCGCCGCGTCACTCGCTGCCCAGCGTCACTCGCTATGCTGGTGCGCACTCACCCTCGGGCTTGTACTGCGCGATGATTGTGACGGTCTGGCCGGCGCCCTTGAGCGCTGCGGCCGCCTGCTCGTGCGTGGCTCCTCGAAGGTCGATGCCGTTCACCTAAACACAGAGGAGATGCTGCAGCCTTCGCAGACTGTAGGGGCACGTGGCACTAGCGAGTAGCACCTATGAAGGCTAATTCACACAGACACACAGACACTCACACGCAGACACTCACACGCAGACATTCACACACTCACACACAGACACACACACTCACACACAGACAACAGACAAACACACTCACACATAGACAAACAAACTCACACACAGACACTCACACTCAAACACAGACACACACACACAGACACTCACACACAGACAACAGACAAACACACTCACACAGACAAACAAACAAACTCACACACAGACACACACACACAGACACACACACACATAGACACACACACTGACACTCACACACAGACACACACACTGACACTCACACACACACTCACACAGACATACACACTCACAGAGAGACACTCACGCAGACACACACACAAACACAGTCCTGCGTAACGCGCTGTCCTGCGTAATGTGCGCATGCACGCACACACGCACGCACACACACACACGCACGCACACACACACGCACACACACGCACGCACACACACACGCACACACACGCACGCACACACGCACGCACGCACACACACAAGCACACACGTACACGCACGTACACGCACACGCACGCACACACGCACATACACACACACGTCCCCGCGCTCACCGACACGATCTGGTCCCCGCGCCGCAGCTCCCCGCTCAGGTCGGCGGGGCCCCCCGCCAGGATGAAGGAGATGAAGATGCCCTCCCCGTCCTCGCCCCCCACGATGTTGAAGCCCAGCCCCGTCGAGCCCTTGTGCAGCGCGATCTTGCGCGGGCCGCTGGTTGCGCCGGGAGCGAAGGGGGGGGGGGGGGGGGGGGGAGCACACACAACATGCAAAGGTCCCCCGTGTAGCCTCGTGCAGAATGCTGGCAAGTGCGGTCAGCGAGCGGATTGGAGCCTGCGAAGGCCGTCACGGGGGAGGGGGGGGGGGGGGGTACAGCACCACCACGCCCGACCGCCTTTGTCTCCCCGGTGACTGCAGCTTGCGTAGTAGAGCTGGGGAGTTGTCGGTTGAGGGTCATGGGGAACAGGGTTAGAGGTAAGGGGTCAGGGTGAGGGGTCAGGGTGAAGGGTCAGGGTGAGGGGTCATCGAGGATGACGATGATTGGGGTGGTCCCTCATTCCTCCACCCTCCCCCCACCACTCTCCCTCCCCCCCTCCACCCTCCCCCCACCACTCACCTCTTACCCTCCCCCCACCACTCACCCCTCCCCCCACCACTCAATACCACCACTCCCTCCACCACTCATCCCCACCACTCACCCTCCCCCCACCACTCACCACACACCCTCCCCTCTACACTCAATCCCACCACTCACCCTCCCCCCACCACTCAAACACTCCCCCTCCCCCCACCACTCACCCTGCCCCCACCACTCAACCACTCACCCTCCCCCCACCTGACCCTCCCCCCTACACTCACCCTCCCCCCCCCACCACTCCCCCCACAACTCCCCCCACCACTCACCACTCACCCTCCCCCCTACACTCGCCCTCCCCCCTACACTCACCCTCCCCCCCCCACCACTCTCCCCACAACTCCCCCCACCACTCACCACTCCCTCCACCACTCCCCCCCCGCCCCCCACCACTCACCACCACTCCCCCCTACCACTCCCCCCCCCCCCCCAACACTCCCCCCACCACTCCCCCCCCACCACCCACCTCAGCATGTCATCGTCGCCCATCAGAGACTTGGGCACGGGGGAGTAGCGGGAGGGTGAGGGGGGGCCGTGGATGCCCCCGTACCCGCTGGGCCCCATCACGTGGTTGTCCATGCTGGGGGGGTAGGCTGCGGGCACGAGGGAGACAAAGGCGGACGTGGAGGGGGGGAGAGGGACGCAGGCATCAGCAGGTGCGGAGGGGGGGGGGGGTCACAGGCTACTTACTCACACCAGGAGGCCAGCAACAACCAGCACCGTTGAATGTGTGTGTCTGTGTGTGTCTGTGTGTCTGTCTGTGTGTCTGCGTGTGTGTGTCTGTGTGTGTGTGTCTGTGTGTGTGTGTGTGTCTGTCTGTGTGTGGCTGTGTGTGGCTGTGTGTGTGTGTCTGTGTGTGTGTGTCTGTGTGTCTGTGTCTGTGTGTGTGTCTGTGTGTGTCTGTGTGTGCGTGTGTGTACAGGTGAGCTGCTGACCGCTGGTGACGTCGGGCGGCCCGTAGGTGTCCGACAGGTAGAGGCTCGTGGGCTTGGCCACCTTGAGGTACACCACGTCCGAGGTGCTCTTCAGAGCCCCCACCGCGTCCTCGTGCGTCACCTCCTCCAGGCACATGGCGTTCACCTGGCGGGGGTGGCGGCAGGGGGCGGGGGGGGGCAGAGTGCAGCAGGTGCAGCGAGTAGAATGAGCGTTGAGCAGCAGGAGCAACGTGAAGTGAGATGAGCGGCACGCACGCAGCACGGGCATCGAGCGCGAGGTATTCATTCGAGTGCGGTGCAGCAGGGTGCAGCAGCAGGGTGCAGCAGCAGCAGGGTACAGCAGGGTGCAGCAGCAGCAGGCTGCAGAGGGGCATAGCAGTTTTTCGGCAGCGTGCAGGAGGGTGCAGCAGCAGCACGGTGCAGCAGGGTGCAGCAGTAGCAGGGTGCAGCAGGGTGCAAAAGCAGCAGCAGGGTGCAGCAGCAGGGTGCAGCAGCAGCAGGGTGCAGCAGCACTGTGCAGCAGCACTGTGCAGCAGCATTGTGCAGCAGCAGAGCATAGATCGCAGCAGGCTGCAGAGAGCGTAGCAGCGTTTCGGCAGCGTGCAGCAGGGTGCAGCTGCAGCAGGGTGCAGCAGCAGCAGGGTGCGGCAGCAGCAGGGTGCAGCAGCAGGGTGCAGCAGCAGCAGGGTGCAGCAGCAGTACGGTGCAGCAGCAGTACGGTACAGCAACAGCAGCAGTGAGCCGCTGACCGCGAGTAGGCGGTCTCCGATCTGCAGGCGTCCGTCCTTCTGCGCGGCGCCCCCGTCGATGATCTTCGTCACGTAGATGCTGTTGTCCCCCGGCATGTGCTGGTTGCCGATGCCGCCTGCGATGCTGAAGCCAAGGCCTAGTGGGGGAGGGGTGGGGGAGGCGGGGGAGGCGGGGGAGGCGGGGGGGGGGGAGGCGGGGGGGGGTGGGGGAGGTGGGAGAGGTAGGGGAGGTGGGGGAGGTGGGGGGGGGAGGTGGGGGAGGTGGGGGGGGGGGTGGGGGAGGTGGGGGAGGCGGGGGAGGTGGGGGGGGGGTGGGGGAGGCGGGGGAGTTGGGGGAGGCGGGGGGCGGAGGTGGGGGAGGCGGGGGAGGCGGGGGAGGCGGGGGAGGTGGGGGTGGGGGAGGCGGGGGAGGCGGGGGAGGTGGGGGTTCAAGTTTCAAAGTTAATGTATTAGTATAGCCCTGTGAGCCATTCGGCTCTTGAATCGGGTGCAACCGCAACAAACAAAAAACAAAAACATGAACAAGAAAACATCTTAAATTGACTATGTGACTAAGTGCAAACAGAAAATCCAAGAAAAGACAGAAAAATATTGCAGAAAAATCACCGCACACCAACGCTGTGTGCAAAAATCCCAGTGGGATGCAAGTCAAACAACAACCAACAACCACAACCACAAGACAACTTAGATTAAGGCCATCAGTCTAACTCCGTACTGCAACAAACAAACATGGCCAAACCAATACACGGGGGGCGGGGGGCGGGGGGGGGGGGCACGACACGGGGGGGGGTTATGGCGAGTGAAGAGGGTCGGGGATTCGGGTTGGGAGGGTGACGGCTACAGAGGCCGCGAGGGTCAAGCCGCCAGGGGGTTACGGCTGTGGGGGGGGGTCCTGCAGGTGACGGTGGTGGTAGGCGCCTAGGCTGAGCAGGTGGAGGTGCGGGGTGTGCGGTGTACACGGTGCGGCGTTTGGCACAATGTTCGGTGCTGTTCTTTGGTACGGTGCCCGGTGTAATGCCTGGTGCGGTGTTTGGTGCAGTGTTTGGTGCAGTGTTTGGTGCGGTGTTTGGTGCGTTGTTTGGTGCGGTGTTTGGTGTGCTTCAGGGTGTGGTGCCTGGTGCGGTGTGCGGTGCGGTGTGCGGTGCGGTGTTCGGTGCGGTGTTTGGTGCGGTGTTTGGTGTGCTTCAGGGTGTGGTGCCTGGTGCGGTGTGCGGTGTTCGGTGCGGTGTTCGGTGCGGTGTTTGGTGCGGTGTTTGGTGCGGTGTTTGGTGTGCTTCAGGGTGTGGTGCCTGGTGCGGTGTGCGGTGTTCGGTGCGGTGTTCGGTGCGGTGTTCGGTGCGGTGTTTGGTGCGGTGTTTGGTGTGCTTCAGGGTGTGGTGCCTGGTGCGGTGTGCGGTGCGGCGCTGCCCAGTGTGATACTCAGCGTGGTGTGTGGTGCGTGGCCCTCACCCTTGGGCCCCTTGACGAGCTTGATCTCGGCGAGGGTCTCGCTGAGCGGGCGTCTGCGTCGCACGTAGAGGCGCACGATGGAGCCGGCCTCCTTGAGCGCCTCCACGGCGCGGCTGTGCGCCACCTCCCGCACGTCCACCTCGTTCACGCGCAAGATGCAGTCGTTCACCCTGCGCACGCACACAGCATCAGTCAGTCACGCACGCAGACACACACACAGACCGAGATCCCTCGTGGAGACTCGAACGGAGCGTCGGGGCAAGGGCTGTGAGCGAGTAGCACCACACGGCGCACGAGAAGTTGGGTGGGCAAACTGCACCAGGTCCTCATTTAAGGCCGAGTCCACCTAGGGGAGGCCCAGGACTGGTTCAGATGATTGTTTCCGGTGTTGTTGGCGGCGAGCGGGAATCAAACTCGGTTCGCCGGTGCACTACCGTTACCCATACTCACACAAAGACAAGATCCCCCGTGTAGCCTGAACAGACTGTTGGGGCAAGTGTTGTTAGCGAGTAGCAGCACCTATGAAGGCCGGCACGACATACGAGGAGGTGGTTGGCCGCCACCACGCCCGGCCGCCTTTGTCTCTCCATTCACGAGGTTTCACACACTGAACCAGGTACTTATTTGAGGCTGAGTCGACCCAGAAAGGGCCCAGGCAGGACCGGTTCAAATAATCGTCACCGGTGTTGGCCGTGAGCGGGAATCGAACTCGGGTCGCCGGTTTCGTAGCGCAGCGTAGCGCTCACCGCTACACCACCGCTCCCCACTCACACAAAGACAAAGATCCCCCGTGTAGCCTTAACAGACTGTAGGGGCAAGTGCTGTTAGCGAGTACCTATGAAGGCCGGAACGGCACACGAGGGGGTGGGTGGCCAGCACCACGCTCGACCGCCTTTGTCTCCCCAGTGGCGATGTTCACACACCGCACCAGCTACTCATTTGAGGCCGAGTCGACCTAGGGGAGGCCCCACTCACACACGCAAGCACACATCCCGTGCCACATCCTCCTCTTCTGTTTCGCATTCGTGGTGTCATCAGCTGTACTCCCCCCCCCCCCCTCACCACCCCACCCCCCCACCCCCCCATGCCCCCCACCCATCCCGCTCCAATCCCAGGTGGTGCTGCACAGTGACGGCTGCCACTGGGGGTCCCCTCAGTGACTGCAGCAGGGCAATGCGATGGTTGAGCTGAGACGTGAGGAGCTCTGAGCTGCTGAGGCTTTGATGCAAGCGCCACTCTCCATGCAAGTCCTTATCTCTGGGTCTCTGTGTGAGTCTGTGGGTCATGGTGAGAGTCTCTGGGCCTCTGTGTGAGTCTATGGGTATCTGTGTGAGTCTATGGGTCTCTGTGTGAGTCTATGGGTCTCTGTGTGAGTCTGTGGGTCACGGTGAGAGTCTATGGCTCTCTGTGTGAGTCTATGGGTATCTGTGCGAGTCTATGGGTCTTTGTGTGAGTCTATGACTCTATGTATGAGTCTATGGGTCTCTGTGAGAGTTCATTGGTTTCTGTGTGAGTCTATGACTCTCTGTGCGAGTCTATGGGTCTCTGTGTGAGTCTGTGGGTCTCTGTGTGAGTCTGTGGGTCTCTGTGTGAGTCTGTGGGTCTCTTTGTGAGTCTGTGGGTCTCTGTGTGAGTCTGTGGGTCTCTGTGTGAGTCTGTGGGTCACGGTGAGAGTCTATGGCTCTCTGTGTGAGTCTGTGGGTCACGGTGAGAGTCTATGGGTCTCTGTGTGAGTCTGTGGGTCTCTGTGTGAGTCTGTGGGTCTCTGTGTGAGTCTGTGGGTCACGGTGAGAGTCTATGGCTCTCTGTGTGAGTCTGTGGGTCACGGTGAGAGTCTATGGGTCTCTGTGTGAGTCTGTGGGTCACGGTGAGAGTCTATGGGTCTCTGTGTGAGTCTGTGGGTCACGGTGAGAGTCTATAGCTCTCTGTGCGAGTCTGTGGGTCACGGTGAGAGTCTATGAGTCTCTGTGTGAGTCTATGGGTCTCTGTGTGAGTCTGTGGGTCACGGTGAGAGTCTATGGCTCTCTGTGCGAGTCTGTGGGTCACGGTGAGAGTCTATGAGTCTCTGTGTGAGTCTATGGGTCTCTGTGTGAGTCTGTGGGTCACGGTGAGAGTCTATGGCTCTCTGTGCGAGTCTGTGGGTCACGGTGAGAGTCTATGAGTCTATGTGAGCCTTTGGGTCTATGTATGAGTCTGTGGTTCACGGTGAGAGTTTATGGGTCTGTGTGTGAGTCTATGGGTCTCTGTGTGAGTCTATGATTCTCTGTGTGAGTCTATGGCTCTCTGTGTGAGTCTATGGGTCTCTGTGTGAATCTATGACTCTCTGCGTGAGGCTATGACTCTGTGTGAGTCGATGTCTCTGTGTGAGTCTATGAGCCTCTGTGTGAGTCTATGACTCTCTGTGTGAGTCTATGACTCTGTGTGAGTCTATGACTCTCTGTGTGAGTCTATAGCCGTCATGTGCGCGTCAATGGCCGTCATGTGCGAGTCTGTCCCCATTTACAGGCTGGTGCCACGCAGGGACAGCTGCCACTGGGGCCCCCCTAGGCAACAGCGCTTCCGAGTCACCGATGGGCATTCAAGCGAGCGCCACCCTCCGTGCAAACCTCCTTCGGCTCCCCGACCGGCGATGCCCCAACGCTTGCGGCGCCGGTCGCTCCCCCGGGACCCGTCCCGGAGCCTCACCTGAGCCGACCGTCCTGTGCGGCCGCGCCGCCGGGGATGATCTTGGTGATGAAGATGGCCGGGTCGTCGCCGATGTGCGGGTTGTCGGTGCCGCCCGCGATGCTGAACCCGAGCCCCGAGTTCCCCTGCAGGAAGGCGGCGGGGGTCACGGGACAACATCGTCGTCATCGTTGTTGTCGCTGTCATCGTCGTCATCATCGTCATCATCGTCAGGTCGTCATTATCGTCGTCATAATCATTATCGCTATCATCATCGTCGTCATCGTCACCATCATCATCTAGTCACGAGTGCACTGTCGTTCTGCACCCTGGTGCAGCCTGCACAGTGCTGCACCCTGCTGCCGATTGCTGCACCCTACTGCACCCTGCTGTACACTGCTGCAACCTGCTGCAACCTGCTGCAACCTGCTGTACACTGCTGCAGCCTGCTGTACACTGCACAGTGCTGCACCCTGCTGCAGCCTGCTGTACACTGCACCCTGCTGCACCCTGCTGCACCCTGCTGCACCCTGCTGCACCCTGCTGCACCCTGCTGCACCCTGCTGCACTCTGCGCCCTGCTGCATTATGCACATGGCTCCTCCCTGCGAACTGCTAATGCTGAACGACGCTGTGATAGTTTCACAGCAGGGGGCGATGTTGCTACGTGGTCCAGCCTAGGGGACCCTCCAGTGGTAGCTGTCTCTATGCTGTAGTTTCACAGCAGGGGGCGATGTTGCTACGTGGTCCAGCCTAGGGGACCCTCCAGTGGTAGCTGTCTCTATGCTGTAGTTTCACAGCAGGGGGCGATGTTGCTACGTGGTTCAGCCTAGGGGACCCTCCAGTGGTAGCTGTCTCTATGCTGTAGTTTCACAGCAGGGGGCGATGTTGCTACGTGGTTCAGCCTAGGGGACCCCCCAGTGGTAGCTGTCTCTATGCTGTAGTTTCACAGCAGGGGGCGATGTTGCTACGTGGTCCAGCCTAGGGGACCCTCCAGTGGTAGCTGTCTCTATGCTGTAGTTTCACAGCAGGGGGCGATGTTGCTACGTGGTTTAACCTAGGGGACCCCCCAGTGGTAGCTGTCTCTATGCTGTAGTTTCACAGCAGGGGGCGATGTTGCTACGTGGTTCAGCCTAGGGGACCCCCCAGTGGTAGCTGTCTCTATGCTGTAGTTTCACAGCAGGGGGCGATGTTGCTACGTGGTTCAACCTAGGGGACCCTCCAGTGGTAGCTGTCTCTATGCTGTAGTTTCACAGCAGGGGGCGATGTTGCTACGTGGCCCAGCCTAGGGGACCCTCCAGTGGTAGCTGTCTCTATGCTGTAGTTTCACAGCAGGGGGCGATGTTGCTACGTGGTTCAGCCTAGGGGACCCTCCAGTGGTAGCTGTCTCTATGCTGTAGTTTCACAGTAGGGGGCGATGTTGCTACGTGGTTTAGCCTAGGGGACCCTCCAGTGGGAGCTGTCTCTATGCTGTAGTTTCACAGCAGGGGGCGATGTTGCTACGTGGTTCAGCCTAGGGGACCCTCCAGTGGTAGCTGATCCTATGCTGTAGTTTCACAGTAGGGGGCGATGTTGCTACGTGGTTTAGCCTAGGAGACCCCCCAGTAGTAGCTGTCTCTATGCTGTAGTTTCACAGCAGGGGGCGATGTTGCTACGTGGTTCAGCCTAGGGGACCCCCCAGTGGTAGCTGTCTCTATGCTGTAATTTCACAGCAGGGGGCGATGTTGCTACGTGGTTTAGCTTAGGGGACCCCCCAGTGGTAGCTGCCCCTATGCTGTAGTTTCACAGTAGGGGGCGATGTTGCTGTGTGAACATTTCCCTACAGCACTTGCCCCAACAGTCTGTTGCAGGCTATAGGGTGGACCTTTGTCTTTGTGGATACTCACCCTCTCCAGCGTGATCTCTTCATACTCGTACTCCGCCTCGCTGCCGTTGAGCTGCGGAGACACGAGCACGTTCTTACCCCGGGCCCCCTACTGGACGTATAAGACAAAGAGTTTCATAGCTCATCGGATTTCTCCTGCTGCAGTAAAACAATTATATTCTGGATCTCACACACGGGGGGAGGGGGGGGAGGGGGGGAGGGGGGGAGGGGGGGAGGGGGGGAGGGGGGCTCAACGCAGCCCCCTCCCTCTCTCCCCGGCAGCTCCGCCCAATTTCACATAACCTCACCCACTCAACGGCCACGCCACGCCCACTTTCACGTAGCTCCGCCCACTTTCACGTAGCTCCGCCCACTTTCACACAGCCCCACCCACTCACCACCCTCGCCCCGCCCACTGTCACACAGCCCCGCCCTCCGCCCAAGTTAGCTCCGCCCACTAATCGGGTAGCCCCGCCCTCCACCCAAGTTAGCCCCGCCCACTAATCAGGTAGCCCCGTTGCATGCGTCATGAGTTGAGCAGGAGTGGCAGGTGCGTTGCCGTTTGCGTTCGTTTGCATGCGTGTGCAACTCTGCGTGTCGTTTGCATGCGTGTGCAACTCTGCGTGCGCAACTCTGCGTGCGCAACTCTGCGTGCGCAACTCTGCGTGCGCAACTCTGCGTGTGCAACTCTGCGTGCGCAACTCTGCGTGCGCAACTCTGCGTTCGTTTGCATGCGTGCGCAACTCTGCGTGCGCAACTCTGCGTTCGTTTGCATGCGTGCGCAACTCTGCGTGCGCAACTCTGCGTGCGCAACTCTGCGTGCGCAACTCTGCGTGCGCAACTCTGCGTGCGCAACTCTGCGTGCGCAACTCTGCGTGCGCAACTCTGCGTGCGCAACTCTGCGTGCGCAACTCTGCGTGCGCAACTCTGCGTGCGCAACTCTGCGTGCGCAACTCTGCGTGTGCAACTCTGCGTGCGTGTATGTATATGTGCGTGCGTGTATGTATATGTGTGTGCGGGAGTGGTAGTGCAGCGCTTAGCGCGCTGCGCTACGAACCCGGCGACCCGAGTTCGATTCACGCTCACGGCCAACACCAGTGACAATTATCTGAACCGGTCCCCATGGCCTCCTCTAGATCGACTCAGCCTCAAATGAATACCTGGTGCGGTGTGCATACATCGCAACTAGGGAGACAAAGGCGGCCGGGCATGGTGCCGACCACCCACCCCTTCGTGTGCCGCGCCGGCCTTCACAAGTGCTCGGCAACAGCACTTTGGAGGCTACACGGGGGACCTTTGTCTCTGTGTCTGGACCAGCGAGCGCGCGTCGTGAATGTAAATCTGCGATCGTGACGACACTCGGCATCACCGAGGGCACGGCCACCCCTCCCCCACAGCCCCCCATCCCGGCGGTCCCTTGACGACAGTAACCACGGCAACAGCCTCCGAGGGCAGAAGGACAGAACGAGAGCAAACGGGGGAGGTGAGACGGGAGAAACGATGACGAGGGGGACAATGACGATAAAATTTCGATTTAAAGCTTTCGTGACTGCAGGGATTCATCTTCTTGGTTCTTTCGGTAAAGTCGCGTAGAAGGGAAATGATAAAATAATAAAAATAAAACATAATCAAATTTCGATTTAAAGCTTTCGTGACTGCAGGGATTCATCTTCTTGGTTCTTTCGGTAAAGTCGCGTAGAAGGAAAATAATAAAAAAATAAAAATAAAACGTAATCAAATTTCGATTTAAAGCTTTCGTGACTGCAGGGATTCATCTTCTTGGTTCTTTCGGTAAAGTCACGTAGACGGTAAATAATAAAATAATAAAAATAAAACGTAATAACATTTCGATTTAAAGCTTTCGTGACTGCAGGGATTCATCTTCTTGGTTCTTTCGGTAAAGTCACGTAGAAGGGAAATAATAAAATAATAAAAATATAAATAATAAAATAATTCTCACGACGTTTCGGCAACATCGCAAGCAGCCGTCCTCAGGTGGAAAACAGGTCTGTCGGAAAAACAGAGTCTGAATGATTTATTCAGACACTGTCTTCTCGACAGACCTGTCTTCTCGACAGACCTATTCTTCACCTGAGGACGGCTGCTTGCGTTGTGGCCGAAACGTCATGAGAATTATTTTATAATGTTTTATTTTCATTATTTTATTATTTCCAGTTTACGTGACTTTACCGAAAGAACCAAGAAGATGAATGACGATAATGTCGAGGCAGCGAACCTCTCCCGGTCATCAGCAGCCGTGGTCACTCCACTGCTGGATAGAGGCCACCCTCCATCCCTCCCGCGGGGGCTGCTCAATCCCACTCAGCGAGCCGGTCCCCACCGATTTCCCCCCGGCGACGGTGACCGTGACAACCACCGTCGACGCTAAACAGTGAACGCATTCGCCCGGTGAAAACGATTCTCGGGAGGGCGCTGCCGATGCCGGCAGGCGAGTTTGGCGTCGCGCGGCGTGAACCACCCAGAGAACCCGGAGAGAACCCCGCCGAATGCGAGGTGGCACTCGTTAGCGCCGCACGGATGGAGTCAAGAATCCCACTGCAGAGCCGCAGTCTTCCCGGGGTCACCCTCGCAGAGCGAGGCCACAACACCGAGGGCCTCGTGCCAGGGGGGGGGGGGCGGTGGCCACCAGCGTTGCCATCTCCCGGCAAACATGGCCGGTGGCAGCACAGCAAGTGGATTCGTGTACAACGCGAGCACGCAGCTGGGGTTGTTCTCTCTCCGGGTGCGTCCGGTTTCCTCGCCGCACACACCAACAACTCACGCACGGCGTTGTCCAAGCATCACCATGCAGGAACGCAGAGCTTGGGCAACTGTTGGGGATTGAGTCCCCGCCCACCACCGCCCACTGGCCCCGCCCACTTCCGCCCACAGGCCCCGCCCACTTCCGCCTACAGGCCCCGCCCACTTCCACCTACAGGCCCCACCCACTTCCGCACACAGGCCCCACCCACTTCCACCTACAGGCCCCACCCACTTCCGGCTACGCCCACTTCCGCCTACAGGCCCCGCCCACTTCCGCCTACCGTCCCCGCCCACCACTACCGATGTAGGAAGAGGTGGGGCCTGTCCAGGAAGGAGCGGGGGCCTAAGCAGTAGGAGGCCACAGCGCAAAACCCAAGGGGAGGGTGGGGCGGGTGCTAACAAGCAAGGCCTGCGGCCTACACAGGTTGAACTTCCCTCTTGAGTGAGCAACCCAGAGGGGCGTCGCAGGCATGAACCTGCGGCTCCGTAGGGGACTGCTTCACGACGCTATCCGCCACGCTGCACTGCGGCTCTTCAAATATTGAGGTTGTTTTTGTTGTTGTTGCTGTCCGCCTGATGAAGCTGGTTGTAATTACTGGCGAAACGTCGTACTCAGATTGTAAATGTTGTGGCTTTGCTCTCTGACACGCCCGTTAGTGCTGTACGAGTGACAAGTTGGCACGTTCTGTTTATGTGACAAACCGTACTAGTTGGCTGTGTCGGGTGGTGGAGGGTTTAACGACACGATCTAACCCAAAGATCCTCTATTACGGCTAAGGTGAAGGTAACAAAACGCGTAGAATCGAGGCACGCACAGTAGGCAGAAAGACGCAAAGATTCTGTGCCGCAGATGCGGTGGACACGGGCCGACTCGTTCTAGTTGTGGTTATGGTGGTTGTTGATGTTGTTGTTGTTATCGGTGAGGAGAGGGCAGAGGTCGCAATCGGGTACCCGATACCCGTACCCGACCCGATACCCGGCTACCTGTACCCGGCCGGGTACCCGTTTGCGACCCTGGTGCGGCCGGGTACGGGTAAGGAATCAAAACCCGTTTGCGACCTCTGGAAGAGGGTGATCCGAGTGGTAGAGTTGGCGGTGGCGTGCGGGCGGCGTGCACAACTCACGTAAGACGGTGAATCCAGATTGTCCGCGTTGACGATGATAGGAGGGGGATTTGCCTGCAAGACAAAATGTAGAGAGACAGAGAGACACACACACACAGACAAAGCTCCCCTGTGTAACCTATAACAGACTGATGGAGCCAAGCGCTTTTAGCGAGCACCACGCCCGGCCGCCTTTGTCTCCCCCAGTGGCGATGTTTTCACGCACCGCACCAGGAACTGATTTAAGGCTGAACCGACCTAGGGGAGGGCCACGACCGGTTCAGATCATCGTCACCGGTGTTGGTGGTGGCCGTGAGCGGGAATCGAACTCGGGTTGCCGGGTGCGTAGCGCAGCGCGTTAACCGCTACGCTACCCACAAAGACACGCACACACAGACACATTCATATGCCCAAAGACCCAATCAGCGAGCGCCATCTCTTTCCACGCAATAGTACAAATGGGTAACACCACGACCACCGCAGGTAACTTGTGGTGGGGTAGAGTGTGGGTAACTCCGAGATGTCTGGCCCGTGTGGAAGAGTAGGCCAGAATTATCCACCACAGGGAATGTCTATAGCTCCCTCTAGTCGAGCAATTGCAGGGCTGCGCTTTTCCTATTCTGCACATGTACATGCAGACGGTCAGAGGTACACGCAGACACAGGGAGATGCACGGATTCACAAGGACACCGACACACAGACAAACAAATTGACACGGATATACCAACAGCATACACACGCACAGATATACATAGACAAACAAAACCAAAGATCCGCTGTATAGACTACACACATACATAGACACATAGACACAAAGATACACAAAGAGATACAGAGACGCATATACACAGAGACGAATACACAGAATCATTGAGACAGACACACTGACACACATTTAGAGAGACAGAGACACACAGACACAGATATACACAGACAGAAACACGGATATACAGACAGATAGACAGACACAGCTATATATATGACAGAGACGCACAGACACACATGGACAGAGACTCACAGACAGAGACACACATCGAGACACGTAGACACACATACACATGGACAGAGACTCACAGACAGAGACACACATTGATGCCCATAGACACACATACACATGGACAGAGACTCACAGACAGAGTCACACATCGAGACACGTAGACACACATACACATGGACAGATACACACATTGATACCCATAGACACACATACACATGGACAGAGACTCACAGACAGAGACACACATTGATGCCCATAGACACACATACACATGGACAGAGACTCACAGACAGAGATACACATCGAGACACGTAGACACAGTCTCTTGGTCATTGCCATCTCGATGATCACCACACACCGCTCACCACACTCCGCTCACCACCGCTGGACTCCCAGGAGGGAGCTTTATGTGGAAGGGGAGGTGGGGGGGCGGTAGTGCAGTACAACTGTACAGTCACATGGAGATCCCACGGGGGATGGGAACGGAGAGAGGGGGAGCGGGGAGACAGCGAGAGAGGGGGAATGGGGAGAGGGAGTGAAGCTGGGAGAGAGAGTAGGGATAGAGGGGGTAGAGAGAGGGGGTAGAAAGAGGGGGGGGGTGGAGAGAGAGGGGTAGAGAGAGAGGGGGTAGAGAGAGAGGGGTTAGAGAGAGGGGGTAGATGAGAGAGAGGGGTGGTAGAAAGAGTGGGGGTAGAGAGAGAGGGGGGTAGAGAGAGGGGGTAAGAGAGAGAGGGGGTAGAGAGAGAGGGGGTAGAGATAGAGAGAGGGGGTAGAGAGAGGGGGGGTGGAGAGAGAGGGGGGGGGGGGGGTAGAGAGAGATGGGGTAGAGACAGAGGGGGTAGAGAGAGAGGAGGTAGAGAGAGGGGTAGAGAGTAGAGAGGGGGTAGAGAGAGGGTAGCGAGAGAGAGAGAGAGGGGGGGGGTAGAGAGAGGGGGGTAGAGAGATAGGGGGTAGAGAGACTAGGGGGGGGTAGATAGAGATGGGGGGTGGAGTAGAGAGAGGGGTAGAGAGAGAGAGGGTAGAGAGAGAGGGGGTAGAGAGAGAGGGGGTAGAGAGAGAGAGAGAGGAAAGGGGTAAGGAGAGCAGAGCGTGACATCTTTTGTGAAATATTTCATTTCAAAAAGGGGGGGGGGGGGGGGGGGTTACATAAAGCAAAGCGTTTAAAAAAAAAACAAAAAAACGAAATGATGAACGAAGCAAAGTGCCGACTACACCGAGCATCTTCTAGTTTCCTCTGATCGTAAAACAGAGAGAGGAAAATGGAGAGAAGTGCGAGTGAGAGAGAGGGTGTGGAGGGAGGCAGAGAGAGAGACAGAGACCGCAAGATGATATCGAAGAGCGGTGTTAGCTGCGTGACTCCGTGCGGAAGCTACCTGGTCTGTCAGTCCACACGAAGCTCCGGGTCTTCTCTAACACTGCTGTGTCCTTCCTTTCTCTTTGCTTGCGAAAGGTGGACCCCCCCCCCCCCCCCCCACAGAGAGAACATTTACACCGCTTTTTCTTGGTTCTTTCGGTAAAGTCACGTAGAAGGGAAGTAATACAATAATAAAAACAAAACATAATAAAATAATTCTCACGACGTTTCGGCTACAACGCAAGCAGCCATCCTGAGGAAGCATGCGTTGTAGCCGAAACGTCGTGAGAATTATATTATTTTATTATGCTTTGTTTTTATAATTGTATTACTTCCCTTCTACGTGACTTTACCGAAAGAACCAAGAAGATGAATCCCTGCAGTCACGAAAGCTTTAAATCGAAATTTACACTGCTTTGAAACAATCAGCCTGGCCTGCCTACGCTCCACGCCGGGTTTGACCAGGCAGGTTAGTGCGAGGAGCTCACAGATGCTTGAAAGATCTGGACGCAGACCCATCATCAGTGAGCGCCTCCGGCAAGCAAGGCTGCATGCCACAGCCACCTTGTGCCTCAGCGGCTTCTGCTTGGCCGGACAGAGGGGGCTAAACAGGCGTGGCACGGGTTGTAGAAGAGATTGACTGATGTGGTACAGGAGGATGAATGGCTGAGTGGACAAAGACAAAATTCCCCGTACAGCCTTAACGGACTGTTGCCTGAAGTGCTGTTAGCGAGTAGCAGCACGTATGAATGCCGGCACGGCACACGAGGGGGTGGGTGGACAGTACCAAGCCGGGCCGCCTTTGTCTCTTTCGCAGTCACTCACTCACCCACCCGCTCACTCACGCACGCACAACAACACTCACGCAACAACACTCACGCAACAACACTCACGCAACGCACAACGAAAACGGGACGAAGATGCCCCCCCTTCCCCACCCCCCCACCCCCGTGTGACCTACACAGGCTGTCGGGGCGAGAGCAGCTCGACTCACGCGGAGCGATCGCGACGACACCGGAGGTGGAGGAAGCAGTGAGTTATTGACGAGACGCGAGCATTGTTGGGGGGGGGCGGGGGGGGGGGGGTCGGGCCCGGGGGGGGGGTAGGAGACCGGGGTCTCAGCCCCCCCCCCCCTCACTCACCCCGCGATGGTGTCGCTCGCTCATCAGTATTCCGTTGCTTCTGCAGCAGCTCTGCAGCGAAGATCACGGACCCCCCCCTCCCTCCTCCCCCTACCCTCGTGCCCCCATCCCCCCCTGCCCCCACCCCCCCCTCCCGCCACCCCCAAGCATGGCAGTGACCCAGAGATGTCCAGCACCCACATCACTGTTCATCCCGCTCAGCCCCCACCCTCCACCCCCACACCCCCCCTCCCACCACCCCCCCCCAACCACCACCACCCCCCCCAACCACCACCCCCCCCAACCACCACCCCCCCCAACCACCACCACCCCACCCTCCCACCACCACCCCCCTCCCCCCCACCTCATCACCGTCCACCGCTCGCTCTCTCTAGTCAAGCAATTGCACGAATGCGCCGTTAATCTTCGGCACATGTCCATGCAGGCGGTCAGAGGTGCACACGGACACAGGGACACGCAAGGACACCGACACACAGACACACAAATAGACACGGATGTACCAACAGCACCCCCCCTCTCCCCCTCCCCGTGTGTGTCCACCCACACCAAGCGTCGTCACTCTCCACCCCCACTCCTCGTCTTGACCACACGGCAGCGGTGTCACAGATCACGTGCTCAGGCCTAGAGCACCACCCCTCCCCTCCCTCCTCCCGCTGTAGTCTCACAGTCGGGGGGGGGGGGGCAATGCTGCTACTGTGTGCGATCCCAATGGAGTAATCCGTGGGTGGGTGGGTTAATTCATTTATTTGGACGCTCACACTGTCACACAATGGCCTACCCTGCCCGAATGACGTCAGCGGGGATCTTTAACATGCACAGTGAAGCAGACGGCGCGTTGTAGCAGTGGTAGTAGTAGTACGAGTTGTATTTTTTACGGTTGATGCACCCGCAATAATAGCCAGGGCGGGCTGCTGGATTCGAACCGCAAGATCTCTCACGGGTAGCCACCTCCAGTCGTCCAATTACAAATATCTCCTCAACTCCCATACTCACTGTCTCTTCATCTCCCCATCTTATCATCTCCCCATCTTATCATCTCCCCTACTCCCCTTCTCCCTGTCTCTGCATCTTCCCGTCTCCCTCATCTCCTATCTATCCGATCTCTCACACGCTCCCATCCCCAACTCCCCCACCTCCCCCGTCTCTCCCATGTCCCCATCTCCCCCATCTCCCCCATCCCTCCCATGACCCCATTTCCACCATCTCCCTCATCTTCCCCATCTCTCCCAACTCTCCCATGTCCCAATCTCCCTCATCTCCCCCATCTCTCCCATGCCCCCATCTCCCCCATCTCTCCCCCATCTCCCATCGCTCCCATCTCTCCCATCTCTCCCATGTCCCCATCTCTCCCATCTCCCCATCTCCCCCATCTCTCTCCCATCTCCCCCATCCCCCGTCTCTCCGTCCCTCTCCGCTGCAGCTCAGCGACTCGGCTATTTTTCGCTCGGAGTTACTTCCTCCCTCGGACCGTGCGCTCTCCCGGGAGACGCCGCGGCGCATTTAATTACTTTTGGCCGACTTGCCAAAAATAACAAGGGGGTGGCTGAGACGCCGAGACTCGTTGGGGGGTAGGGGGCGGTGGGGGGCAGGGGGGGGGCAGCATCGTCGGCTAGGGGGCATTCGCTCATCGGCTAGGGGGCATTCACTCATCGGAGCGCGAACTTGTAGATTTATACAAACTGTCCACCACCCCCCCCCCCTCTCTCTCTCTCCCCCTTCCCCTGGGGAAACAATCAGTGGAGCGGCTCCGCTCAGCTAAGCCATGCTCATCGGGGGACCAATCAATGGCAAACGCACGCACAGATGTCACGCGTGCACACACCCATACACACACCCACACACACATACACCCATACATACACACACACCCACACACACCCACACATACACACACCCACACACACACAAACACCGACACACACACACACGCACCCACACACACACAAACACCCACCCACACGCACGCACCCACAAACTCCTACTCACACCCACACGCACGTACCCACACCCACAAACACCCACCCACCCACACACATACACACACACCCAAAGTCAAAGATCCCCCGTATAACCTTAACAAAGTGCTGGGGCAAGTGCTGAGTCGACCTAGGAGGGCCCCAGGACCAATTCAGATAATCGTCACCAGTGGCAACCGTGAACGGGAATCGAACTTGGATCACCAGGTCCATAGCGCACTGCACTAACTGTGTGTGTGCGTGTGTGTCACGTACACACACGTACCCACACTGAAAGGTA